AGGGCGCGGAGAGAGAGCCGCGGAGGGCGCGGAGAGAGAGCCGCGGAGGGCGCGGAGAGAGAGCCGCGGAGGGCGCGGAGAGAGAGCCGCGGAGGGCGCGGAGAGAGAGCTACTGAGGGCTCTGGGCCCGTAGACTGAGAAAGGCGGTGGGCCTACGGGCAGGAGGCAGTCTTGCAAAGTGTGCCCTTTAGACACTTAAATTACTATGCATTTTTTGTTTCATACATTAAGTATTTTTGTTTTGCTCATTTGTGAAAAATAAGATGCAAAAGACACAGTGGAAGCAGGGTAACTCTTGTTCCAGGGAGGGGCGTGTAATCAATACAATGAAACAAGACATGTGATTGGTTAAAAGTTAAAAAAAATAAGAAAGAAACAATCTAGGATGGTTATGGCTGAGGGAAGGAAAAATTATTTATAGGCTAGAGGGCAGACACATGTCAACATGGGTGACAGGAGGCAGGCAACATACAAGAATCAGGAGCAAAGATGAAGGCAGCGGCAGATGCAGGGTCAACTGTTGGGATGTGGAGGGAACTGCACTTCTTATAATGAAGCAAAGTATAGGGTTTATTGCATGTAAAACTGATGATCTGCTCTGTAAAGCTTTACTCCTTTCGCATTAAAAAGCTTAAAAAAAAATTAAAAATCAAATGACGCACTGCATTGGGCCAATCTGTTCCACAAGACCGCTTGAAAGTGTCAAAGAGCAAAGATGTCCCTGGCCCAAGCCAGGGGTATTTTCAGCTGGCTCATATTTCTATGAAAGCTAACAAACGAATAAGAAAGAAAGGAGAATTGACCCATTGTATTTAGGATGTTGGTGAAGGAAGCCCAAGGTAACACAGGACTTCCAAATGAACAAACCAACCCATCTTGGAGGAGTACAGCCAGAATGCTTTTTAAAATCCGGGGTAGAGATACTTGGTCCCTTGTCTTTGGACATGTTGTCGGAAGGGCCTCGGCCCTGGCAATCCTCATCATGCTGGGCAGGGCAGAGGTCAGTGAGGAGGAGGAAGGACCTCAACAAGACAGACTGGCAAAGTGGCTGCATCACCGGGCGCACCCAGCACAACTGTGGGGATGGCCCAGGACGGGCAGGGCTGTCCACTGGGATCCAACTGAAGGCACCTAGTGAGTCCTGGGGTGGCGCTGTGGGCTAATGAGCTAGACTGCAAAGTCGTCTGAGCTGCATGGTCAGTGGTTCAAGCTCACTAGTTGCTCCTTGGAAACGCTATACTGGGTCGCTATGGGTCGGAACCAACTCGACAGCACTTAACAACAACACCAACAACAACTGTAGTTTTTAAGGAGCCCTGGTAGCGTAGTGGTTACAAATCAGGCTGTGAACCGCAAGGTCAGCAGTTCGAAACTACCAGCTGCTCCGCCGGAGAAAGATGAGGCTTTGTGTTCCCATAAAGATTTACAGCCTCGGAAACCCTGTGCAGGGCCGCTATGAGTTGGAACCGACTCCAAGGCACTTAATAACAACTGTGGTTTTTGCAAACATCATATAAATTAAATGATATTAACTTTTAATAAGCAACTCCCGCTTCAAATTTTAAAAAGACTACTTAAAATGTAATCATTGAGGACTCAGCTGCTATTAAGCATCTAATAGACAAAACCTAGCGCCATCGAGTCGATTCCAACTCACAGTAACCTCACGGGACCCAAAGACCTGCCCTGTACTGCTTCCAAGGTTGTACCTGAGGGGCGTCAATGAAACCGCTATGAAACATGGGACAAGGATGGCTGTGGACGTTGGGGGTCTCCGCCTTTAGTCTCTGGTCAACATAGAGAACCGAGGCCCAGGGTGAGGATGTTAACACCTCATATGCCAGCTCTCAGTCCCATAAGGAAGGTGACCACAGGCATCCGAATGGAGAGAAGTCACATATTCATACATGAACAGTGACACTGGAGCAGGGCTGTGAGACGCCTCCTGGAGCTTGGCCCCTGGGCCTCCTGGGTCTGCTTTTCTCTTCACTGAGGAACCGTAGTCCCATGGCACACAGCTGGTCCCCCAACAATTCAAACCCAGCCTCACCCTCTTAAGGTAACAACAGCCCGGTTCTCTGTAGAACTCACCATCTCCGCACTCCAGTTCCAGAAGTCTAAGGGAATGTCGTCTCGAAACCAAGCAGCCATTTCAGGAAGAAGGACGGGAGTAGACCCAGAGCCCTGGGCAGCTTGGAGGCAGATGAACACGGTTTGGTCCACACACCAGGCCTGTGACGTAGGGAGGTGCAGGCTGGTCGCCCCAGGTCCCCAGCACACTAGTTCAGGACTGGACGATTCTCCCCGCAGCACATTGGAGACCTGGACCAGAAGAAGGGTGGGCGGAGACAGTGGGCAGTGAGCAGAGAGGGCCAGGGGGTGGGTTTCCTCCAGGCTCAGGCCATGCTCCACCCTGAGCGCAGAAGAGCATCCAGCTTCTGCCTGCAGCTCCAGGGGTCTCCTGTTTCTGGAAACTGCTCTCAGATGGAGGCCCCCACTTATCCCACAGCAGGAGGAAGAGCCAGGCCTGGCCCGGCTGGACCCTGACATCCTCCCCAGTCAGGAGTCATGTGATAAAGTCCTGGGCTCATCTATGTAACTTTCACTTTATTTGATATCAATATGGGTGAATTTCCTGGAAGAACGTATTTTCCCAATCTTGCCAGAGAATGCGTCACGACTCAGTCCTTTTATATCACGTGTCATGAAAGCACCCTGTTATACTTGAAACCATCCCCACCCCCAATTTCATTTAGAGCACATTTGCCTTGATAGGAAAGAAGGCCCTCAATGCTTCGGACCTACAGTGATTGCAACAAAGACAACAATAAGGGTGAAGACAGTGCAGAAGAGAAACCAACTCAGCACAAGCTGGAAACAACAGCCGTTTGCCTGTCACATGAGCAGTGACCAAGTCTGCCTTTGTTCCGCCCACGAGACACCACGGATCCCTAAGTGTCTGAGAACTCTGGGAGGACCGCACAATCAACTGCTCCACCAATGAGGACATGGTTAAATCGTCCCGGAAGGACTTGTCTTTTGCAGCTGCTCACCGTTCTTTTCACTGATTTCCATCCAAACCAATATTTTTTCATTTCTTGGTCTCCTTGAAAATATTCTCGTGCAACACCTTCACACAAGTGTCTCTCCTTTAAGCAAACTCCTTCCTTTTACTCTTCTCACAACACACTCTACGTTTCATTCACACCCAGATTTCTCAACTCCACCAACTGCTCAATGGAATCCTCCTTTTAGCAGGATGGTCAGGTCACCCACACCGACATTTGAGAATAAGAAACAATCACTCACCCGTGGCCTGTGAGTCCAGGAACCAGCGTCCTCTCCCGGGACGGACGCCCTCCGAGCACCAGCCCCCCGACCCACACCCAAGCTCCACGTCTACCCTCCTCACAGC